TGACCCCCTTTAAATATATAAATACAGAAAAAACAAAAACTAATGAAAAAGGCAAAACATAACAAAATTACCCAAACTAAAAAATATATATATAAAAAAATATATATATATATATATATTAGTATATAAATATTACAAAAATTGTTTTAAATATTAAAAATATTTATTGTTTTGAATAAAAGTAAGGAAATGAAATGAATAAAATAAAATAAAATAAAATTACCATGTCCAACTTGCTAGCCATTTATAAAAAGCGACTCTTCGGAAATCCTAGCTATGTCAAATATCTAGTGTGACATGATTCTTCATGAACAGCTTGTAACACTCCAAAGAGATAGGAAAACTGGAAATCGCATCATATGACCCCTTTAAATATATAAATACAGAAAAAACTAAAACTAATGAAAAAGGCAAAACATAACAAAATTACCCAAACTAAAAGAAAAAAAGAAAAATATATAATATATATATATTAGTATATAAATATTACAAAAATTGTTTTAAATATTAAAAATATTTATTGTTTTGAATAAAAGTAAGGAAATGAAATGAATAAAATAAAATAAAATAAAATTACCATGTCCAACTTGCTAGCCATTTATAAAAAGCGACTCTTCGGAAATCCTAGCTATGTCAAATATCTAGTGTGACATGATTCTTCAAAGATGACCAAAAGAGTGTTGTGAGCGGTTCAAACTACTACAAATCTGCTCAGATAACTTCCAGAGATGTGGGTTTTACAGATAGCTAGCAAGATGGAAAAGAGTATTTAGATCTGATCCGAACCGAATCAGATTTTAGATTTGATATTAGGTTTCACCTTTGACATTTTTGCCAAAACCCATGGAGGACGAGACAGCCTGGCTCTTTTCCTTCATCATCTCGTCATCGCTGGAGACATCACCTGCACCCTTTTTTACACGTCTTTTACTTTTCTTGTGCCGCGGTGGAAGTTTTTTAGGGAAGGAAAACATGGGGAAGATCACAAACAACATCGCCACAGCACACAGGAGAAACCCACTCCACCTGAGAAAGAGAGCCAGACAGAGAGAGGGTTACAGTGCTGTTAGGTTTACTGAATGTTAACTGATAAACAGCAAATGAGAGACAAGATTTTCCTCACCAGTTTCCTACAAACCGTGGGTCACTCTGGTCAATATTGACAATGGTCCCGGGGTCAACATAGAATCCGATCAGAATCCCACCCAGCAGATACCCAGCGGCTGGTCCAAGAGCTCCCATTACATACATGATAGCTAAGCATGCACAAAACGAGAATAATGGAATTTCTTTAGCTGTCGCATGCTACTGTAGGTGGTTACAGACTTTGCATGCCAGAATTCAGATCTGGTATAAACAGCTGATATTTGTAATTTTGAGATTATGAGCAAGGACTGTTACCATGCCCACTTGGCTAATTAATAGAAGAATATCAGTTCCAAATGTTGACTTTTTATTTTAAAATGTTTTTAGAGTAAATTAATTCTATGAATACTGACTACACACACATTAGGCTAAATGTTTTGGGTATTAAACCTGAAGTAAATCTCCTAAAATATTGTTCCATGCATGTACAGAATACAGAAGTTTCTCCTAAACTAGTAAGACTAACACCCGAATCCATAGCAAACCAAATCTGATTATATAGGGTTGTGGCTGCACAGACTCAATGTCGTTATTTTTAACATAAAACTAAAACTCGTTTTTATTAATTGGAGCAAAGCTGAAGTAAAATAAAATACAAATATTAGAAAACCTTAAAAAAACGTACACTTTAACAAAAATTAGGAATTTACAATTATTCATTTAGCAGATGCTTTTATCCATAGCGACTTACAAATGAGGAATACAACAAACGATTCATCATAAAGAGCCAAATAACACAAGTGCTCATAATACAAAGTCTAAATTAAATCTGCTCATAAAGTGATCAAGTCTCTTCAGAAAATTAACCACTAAATTCATATGGATTAGTTTTACAATCGGTTTATGAACTTGAATGAATCTGAACTTGTATGAATTTGAAGCAACAAAGTGGTGGTTGCGTAGATCCCATGTAAGAAAAAAAAGTGGCCCCAAACAAACTACACACTACCTGACTGATTTGACACAGACGACCAGCCATCCAACAACACCATTAGACAGAGCCTCACTTCGACTCACCCAGGTACAGGGATGCATTCTCCTTCTTCACATTGTCATCCAGGTAAGTTGGTCCAAGGGTGTATATGGGAGTCGATCCCATTCCCACGAGGATCTGAGCGCAGATGAACAGCGCCACATACAGGGCGTGCTCACTCTCCTCCCTGTCCCGCTGGCACCTGGACAGTGCCGGCCTCTCCTGTCCGCTGCCATTCCCACTGGCACAGAGCCCCTCTCCTCCTACTGTGCTGTTCAGCTCTTCCAGCTGATATGGCGGAGAGATAAAGTGAGGTAGGGAGAAGAGGGCGGCACCCACGGCAATGAACACGCCCCCTACTGCCAGCCAACGCGGCCTCTGACCCCGCCCACCAAAGTAGCTGATGAAGACCACAACGAAGAGACTACCGATGTCAAAACAGCTGACCAGCAGACCCGACTCTGAGCTCCGCAGACTGTACCGCTTTTCTGGAAAACACAGGGTTCATATAATATGAAATTCATAAATACTCCAATATTGAAATATGAACTGAGGTGAGATATTGTTGATAGGAGAGGATGAGACGGAGATGAGATTGAGAAGAGATTAAGATGAGATGAGGTTGAGAAGTTATAGATTGGAATGTGATGAGACAAGATGAGATGGCGACTGAGATGAGATGTTGTTGAGAGGAGAGGAGATTTTAATTAGATGGAGAAATTTGAGATTGGGGTGAGTTGAAAGGAGACCATATGAGACAAGATTGAAATGTTATTGAGAAAAAGAGAGATTGTGATCAGATGGAAATTAAGAGGTGGTTGTCATAAAATGAGACAACATGAGAAATAAAGAGATGAGACTAAAATGTTATTAAGAGTAAATGAGATTGAAATGACATGAGAAATTAAGAAATATTATTAAGAGAAGATGCGATTTAATATTTGAAATCGTGAGATTAAAATAATAAGGAGAATTGAAGATAAAAAAAGATGAGATTGAAATGTTATTGAGAGGAAAAGAGATGGATACTGAAAAAATTGGACATGAGACTGAAATGAGAATGAGAGGAGATGAGGTTGAGATGAGATCAAAATGTTATTAAGAGGAGATGAGATTGAAAAACTGGAGATTGTAATGGAATGAACATTGTGAGGAGGTTGAGATGACATGAGATAGAGACTGGAATTAGATTTGGTGGTGACTGGAGATGAGATGTTATTGAGAGCAGAGGGGATGAGACTGAGAGGAGATTAGGATAAAACTAAATTAGAAACTAAAATGTTATGACACAAGATAAGATAGAGACTGAGTGAAGAGATGTTACTCAGAGAAGTTTAAAATGAGATGGACAAATTTGAGTTTGGGATGAGAGGTGAGGAGACCACATGAGAAATGAGAGATGAAGGCAGATGGTTTTGAGAAGAGATTGAAAAAATGGGAGATTGTAAGGAGATAGGAAAAAAATTCAGATTGAAAAAAGAGGACAGTGGAATAAGAGACATAGATAGGTGATGAGACAAACGCTATTGAGAGAGAAGTTAAGAAAGAGATATGAGACTGAAATTATATTCAGAGTAGATGACATCAAGATGAGACTGAGAGATTAGGAAAAGATGAGATTGTGAAATTAAGAAATTGGGATGGATGGAGATCATAGGGTGAGATGAGACAAGTTGAGACATGAGACTTTAAGTGAAAAGTAGAAATTTAACTGAGAAGAGAAGAGAAGAGAAGAGAAGAGAGAGATCTGTCAGTTGTCAAGTATGTTACCTATGGTGGTGATGACACTGCTGAGATAGCCGGACACCATCAGAGACTGAATAAAGGTGAGGTAACACATGCAGAACAGAAAGCAGCGCGAGTCCGACAGGATCACGTCCACATAGCGCCTCACCGGCACCGGCGGCAGCCGGAATGTAAAGAGCGCAGCAACGCCGCGACCCTCCGGCTCACGACACTCTGTCCTGACGGGGGAGCCGCACCGGGGCGAGCTGTGCGGGGCAGAGAGCAGAGTCTGATCCGCGTCCTGCTCCGGAGCCTGACTGTCGCTGAGCACCGGGAGGCTCTTAGATTTCAAACCCTGAGTAGACTCCTCACACAAGTACGGGAACTGTTTCGTGGGCGCGAGGCCCCCTCCAGCACCGGATGCCATCCTGACGGGCAGCGGCTATCCGACCTGTTTATAAACGCTGTAGAGACGCAGACATTCTGCGCTGGCTCATTTACAAAACCCCTTAACAGATACTTATAAACATATATGCTTTATAACAACTATATATAAGCACGCTCTTTGTTTGTTTACAGCACCATTTTCATTTTCTATTCGACACATATTCACCAAAACAACACAATGAATCGACGGTCGACCAGCAGCTGAGGGCTCACGCGCCTCTGATCGGATACTGCAGCGGCGCAGAGCGCGCGCTCGGCCGCATCACACGCGCGCATTCTGTCCCGTTATCTGCTCCAGATAAATAACCACGATTAATTCCACAGGCGCCGTTAAACGGTAATCTATCGCCTCCCTCTGCAAGCGGCTCCAACACACCATCAGATCTTCGCCGTGTGATCAAAATATCCTTGTCCTTGGACGGAGGGGGTAGCACGGGCTGGCCGTTATTCACGGTATAGCTGTAAGCAGTAGTCTATCGCCTCCAAGAGCATTCGGTCTGTACCGCAGCGGGTACAAGTAAATAAACGTTAACTTCCGGTTCACGATGAGGGCAAATACTGTTTTCCTCAAAATTGCTTTAATTGTACCTTTTAACAGATGGATTTAATTCAAATGAATTTAAAATTACACAAACGCTTTTAGGCTGGCTGGCTGAAACAATGTCCTCTACTTACAAATAAAAAAAAATAAGGCAACGTTTTAGAAAACAACAAGCTGTCAATCAATGATCATTTATTTAAATACATTTTTAAAAGATATTTGCACATTTGATTAACAGTGGTTTAGCAGAACACAATTAATGAAATGCTTCAGCCATTAAACATCTCAAATGAAAGGGGTGTACAGCATTTAAAATGATAAAATGTTACACATTAAAGGTGCACTTGTTATTTTTCTGATTAAATAATTACAGCTATAGAAAGGAATTGTACTTTTGAAAAATATGTTTAGAATCATTTACACTGATATGATATTCCAGTTATAGCATTAGCCTCATAAAAGCTGCTTTATTTTACATTTACATGTTATTGTACAGTCTCTTGTGGAATAAATACATTTTTGTTGACTGAAGCGCATACTAGTGTTTGGCGATATGCTCTGTAGTCATATCTTCAGCCTGTGAGATCGCCGATACACGATATTATCGTTTTAATTTAATTAATTACTTAGTTTCATAGCCGGAGAGTGAACCAACTCCAGGATAAGACTAAAAGCAGTCTAATGTTAGTGTAATCTATCATAAAATATTTTTAATATGACTGAATTTGTATTTAACATGATCACAGTTTAACAGAAACATTGTAAGTTACTAATTATAATGCTTACATTTCCTCAGTTATTCAAACAGCAGCCATAGAAAACGAGCAAAAAACATTTACATTACCAAAAAAACATCACTGACTAGCAGGAGTTTATGCACTTTAAAAAACACTCCCGTTATAATCAGTGAAGCTGTCTACACTGTACGATGAATAAATCTCTTATACTTGTTACATCACACATACCTCTGCACTTTTATGAGATCAGGGCCCGTATTCACAAAACATTTTATCTTACCACTAAGAGTTCTCCTAAATAGCAGTAAAAGTTTTTAGCTAAGAGTTTTCTCTTAAAACCTATTCACAAAGCTGCTGAGACAAACTTTTACTGAGGAATAGAGAGAAGTCTTAAGCTAAGAGTAACGGCGCGGTTGACCTTGTTGCTATGGATGATATCAGCTTGCTTACTAACTATGCCCACAGTGATTGGCTGATAGTCTCTGTCAGAGATTTATTCATAGAAATATTGAAGAGCGCAACATTATGTTGCCACATTCAAATAAAGATTTTAAAATGCAGGCTACGTGTCACTAATTAAACAAGTATATGTTCAGCTTATTGTCAGCCTCTTACATGTGTGCTTCTCATAATTAGTGAATATGCATATAAACAGCCTTTTAATTAACAGAGTAGAATAATCATGGCTGATAGTAAGGCATGCAAACATAAAAGAAAACCAAACTGGATGCAAGAACAGCCGTTACTTCTTGCCCAGCTGGTTAATGAAAACAAAGATATAATCAAAGGAAAATTTGGAGTTGGGATAACCTCCAAAACCAAAGGTGATACCTTTTTAAAAGCTCATTATCGTCAAATGTTTCTAAAATGTTTATATTCTGAGGCAGATTGCCGGCAACAGCCATTTTAGGATAGTTTGTGGCTTGGTCTTAGTGACTTAGGAGTCCTCTTCACTACTCCTAATGTTTCACAGATTTAGGAGCTATTTTTAGTGTTAAAACGCTTTGTGAAACACTCTTAGAGCAAAAATTTAGGAGTCCTAAATTTAGGACTGACACTCATTATTTTTAAGATTTTCTCCTAAATCGCCGAGTTATGAGCTACTTTTAGCCTTAAGATGTTTTGTGAATACGGGCCTAGGTTTGTGCCAGAATGGCGAACGTAAATTTGCGAAGCGCAAACAAAAACTTGGAAAGCGAAAACGAAAACACTGGCAGCGCATTCAAAACTGCGTTTAGCAAAAGTGAAGCTGAAAGTGAAGTCAACAAAGAATGCAGTTTATTTGAAGACGATGTTACTTTTTTTTGCTATTTAGTTGATTGTTTTTATTTTCAGAGTGTTTTTCCCATTTATCAATGTATATTTTTGTTCGTTTTCGCAAAAGTTAGGTTCATTTTATTTGCCACAAATCTGATTCCATACACTTTGTTGTTTATGAGAGAATTCGTGAGAGAGCAGAATTCAGTCTGCGAGCGCGCGCACTGAACAACAAAACTCCGGTGTTTCAGCGATGACTCATCGTAACGCCTCTGATTGGCCGCTGCATTCATAAACTCAACGGAATCGTGTGTGATTAGTTAACGCGCAACACCGTAAAAATGCGGGAAAAAAAATATGTTAAGGCAATTTGGAGAAATGGGTCTGCACAATAAATGTAAATGGCCTCCTATCAGAGCAGGTTTTCACAGAAGGTCACCATTTGAAAAAAGTGACTAGTCCCAGTGTCCCCTTAAGTCCATTTTACTTCACTGGGAACCTTTTATTAGTCACTGTGGGTGATGAGTGTGTGGGCTAAAAAACTGTCACAAATTGCTCTTCCATTTCTTCTCATTTGAGCCTTCAGCTGCAGGGAAACAAACATTAACGTTAACACAGTCAGACAATAGAGCACATTTGCACACACAGACATGCACAAATAAACACCTGCATGCATGCACACACTCACACATACCCAGGCAGATCTTTCCTTCCTTGTGGAGTTTCTTTAAATGGTGCAGCAAGTTAAACTCTGCAGCTCTGTGCAGGTGTTCAGGGGTCTCCTGGCATACATACAACAAAAAAAGCACATGAAAATCATGTAATGTACACAGTTTAAAAAATAATAACAACATTTATATAAATAATGTACTCTCATTCTTTGCACATTGTCTGTTAAAGCAGTCACCACTTAAACAGAACCAACAAATGTAAAGTTAACTTCACATACAATGGGGAACAAGCATCTGAGACCACTGGTGAAAATGTGTTTCTTTTGCAGTTTTAGGATTTCATACAAATGTTTTCATTACAATTTGCATTATCAGCATAACAAATCAAGGGAAATTTGAATTTATAAAATAAACATGACTTTCAGAATGCTATGTGGATTGTCCCCCGTCTGGACAAAGGAGTTCACAAAGTTACATATTTGTATTTATGATTAATGATCTAGATCTAAATTACATTTTTTTTTTAAATAAAAAGTTCAATGTCTTATACGTTTGGTACACACTGTTGTTTCCTTTTCTCTCCTTGTGGACTGCAGGTTTGACAATGTCAAAATTGTATTAAAATGTATTAAATACTAGAAATGTAAATGCTTTTGGATTTATTCTAATTAAAGAGCTAAGATCATTTAGAAAAGAGTTGAACCTTGTACACCACTTTAACCAGTTCGCTGGAGGTGAACGCAGTTCTGTTGTTCTCCTGCAGAACGTTTAGGATCTGCTGTTCTCTTGCATTGCGGTGAGTTATATACTCACAGATCTTAGAAAAAGCATCTTGGACCACTGGACCATGACCTGACACACAAATACAAACATTTCATAGTGTCACTGAAAATGTGATGTAGAAAGCACTCTGACAAAAAGCACATGTACTTACCTGGATATATGAGGTCAGCCTTCATGCTGAGGAGCTTCTGCAGTGACTTCATGTAATCATGGAGGTCCTCAAACACAGCCGTTCCCTCTCCTAGAATACAGTCACCTGAAAACATAGCTTGCTCCTCCTCCAGGAATAATGCCATGTGATCATCTGTGTGTCCGGGAGTAAACAGCACCCTACGTGCACATAAAAAATAAAAACAAACTTGCTCAAAACAAAAGAAACAACTACAGTGGGGAAAATATTTATTTGATCCCCTGCTGATTTTGTAATAGGTTTATTTTAACGCATAGAGACAGAATATAAACCAAAAAATCCAGAAAAAACACATTATATAAAGGTTAGAAATTGATTTGCATTTCAGTGAGTGAAATAATTATTTGATCCCCAAGCAAAACATGACTTAGTACTTGGTGCAGAAACCCTTGTTGGCAAGCACAGAGGTAAGACATTTCTCTAAATCCTTAAGGTTTTAACGTTTGGCAACTCAAAGTTTCAGCTCCCTCCACAGATTTTCTATAGGATTGAGGTCTGGAGACTGGCTAAGCCACTCCATGACCTTAATGTGCTTCTTCTTGAGCAACTCCTTTGTTGCCTTGGCGGTATGTTTCCGGTCATTGTCATGCTGGAAGACCCATCCATGACCCATCTTCAGTGTTCTGGCTGAGGGAAGGAGGTTCTCGTCCAAGATTTTACAGTACATGGTCCCGTCCATTTGCCCCTCAATGCGGTGAAGTCGTCCTGTACCCTTAGCAGAAAAACAGCCCCAAAGCATAATGTTTCCACCTCCGTGCTTGACTGTAGGGATGGTGTTCTTGGGATCATAGTCAGCATTTCTCTCCCTCCAAACACAGCGAGTCGAGTTAATGCCAAAGAGCTCAATTTTGGTCTCATCTGACCACAGCACTTTCTCCAAAGCCTTCTCTGTTCTTTGGCAAACTTTAAATGAGCCTGTACATGTGCCGCCTTGAGCAGCGGGACCTTGCGGGCGCTGCAGGATTTCATTCCATTGCGGCGCAGTGTGTTACCAATGTTTTGCTTGGTGACTGTGGTCCCAACTGCCTTAAGATCATTAACAAGCTCCTGCGTGTAGTTCGGGGGTGATCCCTCACCTTTCTCATGATCATCCTTACCCCATGAGGCGAGATCTTGCACGGAGCTCCAGACCGAGGCCGATTGATGGTTGTTTTGTATTTCTTCCATTTCCGAATAATCGCACCAACAGCTGTGTCCTTCTCACCAAGCTTCTTGCTGATGGTCTTGTAGCCCATTCCAGCCTTGTGCAGATCTACAATCTTGTCTCTGACATCCTTTGACAGCTCTTTGGTCTTGCCCATGGTGGTGGGAGAGGTTGGAATGGAAGATACAGATTGTGTGGACAGGTGTCTTACACACCTAACGAGCTGACATTAGGAGTTCTTGGGGTCATAGTCAGAATTTCTCTCCCTCCAAACACGGCGAGTCGAGTTAATGCCAAAGAGCTCAATTTTGGTCTCATCTGACCACAGCACTTCTCCCAAGCCTTCTCTGAATCATTTAGATGTTCTTTGGCAAACTTTAAACGGGCCTGTACATGTGCCTTCTTGAGCAGTGGAACCTTGTGGGCGCTGCAGGATTTCAGTCCATTGTGGCGTAGTGTGTTACTAATGTTTTGCTTGGTGACTGTGGTCCCAACTGCCTTAAGATCATTAACAAGCTCCTCCTGTGTAGTTCGGGGCTGATCCCTCACCTTTCTCATGATCATCCTTACACCATGAGGCAAGATCTTGCACGGAGCTCCAG